CCGCCGTCTATCCTCCCGAATATCGCCTCGGATTCACTTCTCCGCACGTCCTACCTTCCAGAAAGTGGTCGCTTTTCTGATGAGAGAGTTGTGCTCTTCCTTTCTTCGATCTCCTGTTGGGTTTGTAGGTGTTCCGAATGGTTTGATCCCTATCCAGCTGAATTCCTGAGAGGAGACGAAATCCAGGTCTCCTACTCCTCCGCCATCTTGCTCCGCCCCCCCCGAAAGGTCTCTTTTTAATCACATTGGAGCTATGGAGTAATTTTAAAAACTATGCTATGTCAAAAAAGATGCTGTCCCTATTTTATGCTAAGAGGTATGGGTTATCGTGTACTTATTATTTTTAAAGAGCTTTCATCTGTGGATTTTTACCACTCTGGGAAAAGATAATACTACAGAATTCAAATGATCACATGCTGCTATTATCATTATTTGATATTATGTGATACTCCTGTTGACAGAGTCCAGGAAAAAGCCCAACTCTGTTCTGACTGCCACGAACAAGCTGTGTTGGTAATATTGGATCAGTCTTTTAACCTATTTCCTTCATTACCTTTTTTTTTTTTTTTTAAGATTTTATTTATTTGACAGAGAGAGAGAGAGAAGAGCAGGGGGAGAGGGAGAAACAGGCTCTCCACAGAGAGCCCGATGCGGGACTCTATCCCAGGACCCTGAGATCATGACCTGAGCTGAAGGCAGACGCTTAACTGAATGAGCCACCCAGGCACCCCCTTTATCTTTTAAGTTTTCATTCCTGTGTAGTTAACATACAGTGTTATCTTAGTTTTATGTATACAATATAGTGATTCAATAATTCCATATATTACTAAGTGCTCATCATGGCAAGTGTACTCTTAATTCCCTTCATCTATTTCACCCATCACCCCACACACCTGCCCTCTGGTAACCATCAGTTTGTTCTGTATAGTTAAGAGTCTGTTTTTACATTTGTCTTTTTTCTGTTTCTTAAATTCCACATATGAATGAAATTATATGGTATTTGTCTTTCTCTGACTTATTTCACTTAGCATAATACTCTCTAGGTCCAGGAGCGCCTGGGTGGCTCAGTGGGTTAAGTGTCTGCCTTTGGCTCAGGTCATGATCCTGGGGTCCTGGGATGGAGCCCTGTGCGGCTCCCTGCTCAGCAGGATGTCTGCTTTTCCCTCTCCCTCTGCCTCTCGCCCTGTTCATGCTCTCTTTCAAATAAAATCTTAAAAAACAAACAGTGCACCCTTTAAAAAAAAATTCTCTAGCTACAACCATGTGGTAGCAAATGTTAAGATTTCATTCTTTTTGGGCGCCTGGGTGGCTCAGTTGGTTAAGCGACTGCCTTCGGCTCAGGTCATGATCCTGGAGTCCCGGGATCGAGTCCCGCATCGGGCTCCCTGCTCGGCGGGGAGCCTGCTTCTCCCTCTGACCCTCCCCCCTCTCATGTGCTCTCTGTCTCTCTCATTCTCTCTGAAACAAAAAAAAAAAAAAGATTTCATTCTTTTTAAGGGCTGAATAATATTCCATTGTATATATATATACCACATCTTCTTTATCCATCCATCGATGGACATTTGGGTTGCTTCCATAATCTAGCTATTGCAAATAATGCTGCACTTAACATAGGGGTGTATACATCCCTTAGAATTGGTGTTTTCATATTCTTTGGGTAAATACCTACTACTGCAATTGCTGGACCATATGGTAGCTCTATTTAAATTTTTTTTTTTAAGATTTTGTCAGAGAAAGAGAGCACAGGCAGAGGGAGAAGCAGGCTCCGCATTGAGCCAGGGGCCCAACATGGGACTCAATCAGGACCCTGGGAAAATGACCTGACCCGAAGGCAGATGCTTAACTGACTGAGCCACCCAGGTGTCCCTACTTTTAATTTTTTGAGGAACCTTTGCACTGTCTTCCACAGTGCCTGCACCAGTTTGCATCCCCACTGACAGTGCAAGAGAGTTCCTTTTTCTCTGTATCCTCACCACTGCTTGTTTTTTATTGTAGCCATTCCAACAGGTATGAGGTGATATCCCATTGTGGTTTTGATTTGCATTTCCCTGATAATGATTGATGTTGAGCGTCTTTTCATGTGTCTGTTGGCCATCTGGATGTCTTGTTTGAAGAAGTGTCTGTTCATGTCTTCTGCCCATTTTAAATTGGATTTTTTTTTGGTGTTGAACTGTAGAAGTTCTCTATATATTTTGGATACTAACCCTTTATTGGGTAAGTCATTTGCAAATATCTTCTCCTATTCAGTAGGTTGCCATTTAGTTTTATTGGTTGTTTCCTTTGCTGTGCAGCAACTTTTTATTTTGATGTATTCCAATATTTTTGCTTTTGTTTCCCTTGCCTCAGGAGACAGATCTAAAAAGATGTTGTTACAGCTGGCGTCAGAGAAATTACTGCCTGTGCTCCCTTCTAGGATTTTCATGGTTTCAGGTCTCGCATTTAGGTCCTTAATCCATTCTGAATTTATTTTTGTGCATGGCGTAGGAAAGTGGTCCAGTTTTCTCAACACCATTTATTGAAGAGACTTTTTCCCATTACATACTTTTGCCTCCTTTGTTGAATATTGACCACATAATTGTGGGTTTATTTCTGGTCTTTCTATCCTGTTCCATTAATCTGTTTATTTTTGTGCCAGTACCATACTGTTTTGATTACTACAGCTTTGTAAAATTTGAAACCTGGAATTGATACCTCCAGTTTTGTTTTTCTTTTTCAAGACTGCTTTGGCTATTTGGGGTCTATTGAGGTTCCATACAAATTTTAGGATTGTTTGTTCTATGAAAAAATAATTTTAGTATTGTTTATTCTGTGAAAAATGCTGTTGGTTCCTTATCTCTTAAGTTAATCACTGTCTCTTTGTATCCCACAAATCTGAAGTAAGGATAAAACTTAAGGTAAAGAATATGAGTTATTTTGAAAAGTTTAAAATGGGCTGCATAAAATGGGCTGCATAAGGTATTATTATAAGGTACTCTGTATTAGCTAAATGCTTTTAATAATTCTCCCCCTTTTAAGGTAGATTTTGAGAGTTTTTGAAATAAGGTAATATTACTTACCTGTAGAATGGTTCCTAGAAGTGGACAGCAGGGGAATCAGCTGAGTAGGAAGTTTTTCAGACCTGAGCTAAGAGATTTAAGAGGGTAATTTTTAACTAAATCTAGAGATTTCTGGCAGCTGCAGAAAAATTGGCTTCTGATCCCTAAGTGTTTCAAGCACACAACTGGAGAGACCTATAAAAGAGGCAACTGCTTTCTAAAGGAAAAAAAATAAAATAAAAATAAAACCTGCATGGGGAAGATGAAGGGTAAGGAGAAAGACACCCTGTTATGTTATGTTCTCTAGAAATCAAGCAGGGTGTTTGGTATTTAACTGCCAAAGCTTGCTCCAAAACTCTTTGAGTAAGATCCTCTTTTAAACAAAAACAGGAGACACATTTGTTCCTTATGGAAAGACAAATTTTATAACTACACAAATGGAAGAAAAGGAGTAGATGTTAGAAAAAGTGGGCTGTAAAAGGCTACCAAGAAGCAGAATGAACAGGTGGTGAAATCTTCAAGTTCTCAGTGCAAAGTACTCAAAATATCCAAAATATTACTTAGGTCTTCAGCTCTTAAGCATTTGCTATATATGGGTGAGTATTCAAGAGAGCAAAATACAGCAGCTTGTCCTTTCTGTTTGGACTTGACTATGTGATTCAAATATGTACAGTTCTTTTAAAAATTTTAAATACAGTTTACAGCTGTTATGCTCATGACCTTTCTGGCTGTTGTTGACTAATTTCATAAACTTTATTTTTAGTCATGAAAATATTTATATAATTGTATGAGGGTGAAAAAGATTATAAAAATTGCCTCATTGCCTCAGTTTCCTCTATTTAATAATTCAGCACACATACAGTATAAACACATCAAACATACTAACATGAATATTTCCCCAACTTCTATAAATTTTGATTTCATGAAGATTGAACAAAAGGAGACTTTTTTTTTTGAAGATTTTTAAAAATTTATTTATTTGACAGAGAGAGATACAGAGAGAGAGGGAACACAAGCAGGGGGAGTGGGAGAGGGAGAAGCAGGCTTCTCGCCAAGCAGGGAGCCCGATGCGGGGCTCGATCCCAGGACCCTGGGACCATGACCTGAGCTGAAGGCAGATACTTAACGACTGAGCCACCCAGGCGCCCAAGGAGACTTTGAGATATTCCACGAAGTTTACTTTTTGTTTCATAAATATGAAGTTAGAAGTAGAACTCTAAATAAATAAAATACTAACAAAGGTATTATTATAAATCATAGTATTTGAGAAGACTTATTAGAAAGCATTAAGAACTGATTTATCCTAATCATAAAAAACATAATCCAAAAGATAGGTCTATTCAGTCTTGTATAAGTTAAGTGCCCCAGAAGTAGACAAGTAAGGTTTGAAAGAGAATTCAGGAAATAACTTTATACAGTACACTACTGTAAAAGTGAAAATCAATCTTCATACAGCAGGCTATAAAATCACTGAATGTCTCTCCTCTTCCCAATGCATTATATCTTAAATTATACAAAAAAAAAAAAATTAAGAATCAGTAGCAAATGCATCACATTTTAGATGTGTTTTATTCACAGCTTAAATTTACACTGATGTCGTAAGAAGTTCTAAGTAGCAAATGTGTTATGAGAGAGCTATGGTGCAAGAAATTCTAAGATAACCGCCATCCCATTACTTATGCCTTTGTATAATCGCCTCCTCTTGAGTGTAAGCGGAAATTATAAATATGATGAGACAGCACTCCCATGATTATGTTACATTATATGGCAAAACAAAGATTATTCTGGGCAGGCCTGATCACATCAAGTGAGCCCTTTAAGAGCAGTTTCTCCAGCTGGTTGCAGAAGAGATCAGATATAGAAGCATCAAATGCAACATTGCTGGCTTAAAGATGGAGAGGGCCAAACAAGAAGGAATGTGAGTGGCCTGTAGAAGCTTAGAGTGATCGCTGACGGACAGCAAGAAAACAGAGACCTCAGTAGTAATCACAGGCAACTGGATTTTGCCAACAATATGGACAAGCTTGAAAGTAGATTTTCCCCCCCAGAGCATCTAGATGAGAACACAGCCTGGTTAATGCCGAGTCAGGCCTTGTCCACCCTGAGCAGAGAACATAGCCATGCAGATCTCCTGACATACAGAACTGTGAGCTAAAAATAAGTGTGATTTTAAGTCAGCAAGTTTGTGGTAATTTCATTACAGGGCAATAGAAAATGAATAGCTAAGTACAAATTTTCAAAAGGCCCCCACAAGACAATTCACCAGTATTCATTCCAATTTGTTGTTTTCAACATTTATATGAACTGTGGTATTTGCATTTTTGTAGTCACAGATCTGCTAATCATTGTTAAAAATTATAAATACAACTCAAACCATTCTTAGTCCTGCAGTTTCAGGGACTGAAACCAGCTCTGACTTCTAAATTTTACAGTGCCTTCTGGGGCATCAGCCTTAATCCATTTTTCATGTTCGCTTGCTTGATTCATGAGCCCTGAAACATAAAATTGCATAGTTATATCTTCATTGACAAGAGCAATATTTGACTACATAGATCCGAACAACACATCTCTGAAACTGAAAAATACTTTGGAACAGCAAAAATCTTAGAAAAAGATAGTCTGAGTTGGGAGAGTTGCAAAGAGGTTACCTGGGCTTATTCTCTCCTTTCATTTTCTCAGAACAACTGAAAGGAAAGCTACTCTTTTTTTGTTGTTTTTTTTTGTTTTTTTGTATGCAGGTTTTAAAGAGGTTTATTTAAGTACAACTGACAAACTACAAGTGCTTCACATATGCAAAACAGTAAGTTTTGACATGTAAAACTCTGTGAAACCATCTCTTCAATCAAAATAATGAATATATCCATCACTTCTACAAGATGCCTCCATACACCTTTGTCATCTCTTCCTCCTGCCCTTTCCCTGCCTGTCACCTCCAGACAGTCCCCCCAACACCCCAATTACTGATCTGCTTTGTGTCACTACAGATTAGTTGCATTTTCTACAATTTTAATGAATTGAATCAAACAATATATATTTTAATTTTTTTTTAAATCTAGGTGTTTCACTCAGCATAATCATTTTGAGATTCATTCACACTGTAGCAGGTATCAGGTAGTTTCCTGACACACACGATGATCAGTACTTTGCTGAATGCTCACGGGCACCCTGTGCAGCTCCCTCCTCTCCGGAATTCTCTCTTGTGAAATCTAGCAGTCCTGGTCTCCCCAGATGCTTAGTCTCTTCCCTGTCAGGAGTCTGTTGGGCTCTGTATTACCCCTTCCTGCCCTGCAGCCTGGAAACTCCCTCCAGGTAATATGCTGTAGCAGGCATAGAGCTCAACTGGTTTATTTCCCATCTCTCATCTAGTTCTGTTTTTTTCTTTCGATAGAGATAATTAGGGTGTTACACCTCCTCTAAAGTTCCATTGCCATTCTGGATTTAAGAGATCAGTCAAATCTGAACTGAAGAGACTTGTGAATACACTGTCTCACTTCCTTATATACATTTTCTTTCTGAATCCAAGCACGCAAATCAGGAAACAATTCTTTTCTTTAGTATAGTTTTTCCTTTGTTAGTACCATGTGATGTTCCTAGCTGATGAAAAGGTGCTTTGTACCATCCAATCTTCGTGCCAAGTGCCTCTTTGATACAAATTCTTCTGTGAGTTCTTGCCTCGCCCCTTTCATCTGAGCCATAATCTTGTCTATGTTTTAGAGTTCATTGCATCTTTCAAGTATCCAATGACTTCCTCTGGAGTTTTTCCTTCTACCTCTTTTGCTATATTTCAATTCCATCATTACTTCTCAGTAAACTGGTTAAAATATCATTCCTATTGGTAAATCCCTGTTAGAAAAATTAAAAAAAAAAAAAACCAAAACCCCCAAAACCCAAAAAACCACCCCAGGCCCAAATGGTGTCACTTAGACCGAGTTCCAAACAGGTGCTTAATATAAAATCTAACTGCAGTTTCAAACTCCCCAAAAATGTAGTCTTGGATGGTCATTCAGGAATTTTTCAGTCACTGCCAATGGGTCTGCCACAAGGGCCCTCTCCATCCCAGAGGAAGATGAGGTCATTTGAATGATAAGACCCCTTTGTTTTTTTCCCCCCTAGAAAGGGCCTAGCCTGGAACAATCCTTTTCTTTTGCTAGTAACTTTCTTGCTCCTTTCCGCCTCTAGATAAACCTTCCATTTTGTACAACTCCTTGGTGTGCCTCTCTACTTGCTAGGTGAGGTGCCGCCCAATTCATGAATTGTTTAATAAAGCCAATTAGATCTTCAAATTTACCTGGTTGAATTTTGTTATTTCATGGGAGCTTCTTTTTTTCCTCCAACTCTTCATTATTAAGGGGTTCAGTTCTGTCAATTTAAATGTTCTTCTTTTTGGCCTGTGCTGCATTTGGTAGGTCACAATTTCAAGGTACCTGCACCCAACAGTTTTTCTATAACACAGAATTTTTTTTCTAGTAATTCAAATAAATGTAGAGGAAAGAACCGGAAATCCTGAACATTGGTTGCTCTAACTTTATTATTTTTTCACGCTATTTGGCATCAACAGCAAAGCATCAACAACAGTAAGGTCTTCCCAACGATCTAAGATTTTTTCCTTAATATATTTAATTCATCGCCTCCCCAGTCATGCTTTTCTTACTTATGGAGAGAGAAGCCAATCTACTCAATTTCCTTTTGCAGCAGCAGAGGCTACCGTAGGGGAGGAAGACCTTCCCCTGCCCAGGGTTCTTCTAGCTGGACTTAGAATCAAACTGACATGAGACAGATTTACAGGAGAAAATTTAATAGGTGTACATATGAGGAATCCACACAGACATGAAATCCCAAAGACAATGAGTCAACATGAAGTTTATATAAGCTAAGAAAAGGGGTAGGGCCTGAGGCTACAAAGGGGAGAAGACCATTAGCAAGAAAGTGAAAGGAGATGTTCTGAAAAACAAAAGTTGCCCTATTATGCAGGTAAGTTTCTTAGGTAAAGGGGAGTCTCTGTTACCAGCTCTCGGGGTGACACAGGCTCTCCTTTCCAATGTAAATTTAGGCAACTGAGGGGCAGGCAGACAGCTTTTCCTGCATCTGCTGGGTTTCGATTACTTTTAACTTGAAATAATCTTTATCCCAAAGTGGTCCATCTTGGGGCAGCCCGCCCTTGGCCCTCATACTGCACTTAATGCTACTAACAAAATGAACACACAGCAATTTTAGCCTGGAGACAATACTCAAAAAGCAAGGCAGTTTATACAATTCCACTTAGGTTACTTGAAAATAGCTTTCCCTATCTTGCCTATAAGTAATTTACTGAAAGCTTTTCACACTTTGGTTGGCCTGAATCTGTAGAGACTCTAATGTGTAAAATTTATAAATTCCTTCCTACAAAAATCTTGCAACACATATTGGAACTTGGAGTTGCAGAAAACATGTTCCTTATTTAATTCCCTTTGCCAATGATAATCAATGTTTTATTGGCCAAATGGGAAATGACTACCCTACCCCTATGTAGTTTGGCTTCCATTAAGTAGGAGGAAAAGTTTCTTTTCAGGACATGGTTTTGGGTGTTTTTTAAAAATATTTATTTATTTATTTATTTATTTATTTATTTATTTATTTGAGAGAGAAAGAGAACAAGCGGGATGGGCAGAGGAAGAGGGAGAGAATCTGAAGCAGACTGTGCTGAGCGCAGAGCCTGATGTGGGGTTTGATCTCAGGATCTGAGGTCACAAACTGAGCTGAAACCAAGAGTTGGATGCTTAATCGACTGTGCCATCCAGGTGCCCCTCAGAACATGTTTTTAAACTCCAGTGTTTGCTCCCTAAATCTGCCCTGTACAAATCTAACCAAATATATGAATCACCAGGTTCTTTTATTTATTTTCCCCCAAATACCTAGTTGAGAAGCATTAATCATTATTTAACCCCAAATATACCTGATCTAATCAGCACTAGTTGTGGACTAAGATAAGGCTCTAAGCAGTAATCTGCAGAATTTAATTCTCTGGTTTAAAAATAGGCTTAAAAAGCTTCTTGGCTAAGGTGAGCTTCTCCCTTCCCCCGCCCCTTGTTCTGAGCCTCCACCTCCCTCTCCCAACCCTTATAACAGACTTTAACATTTGGTTCAGAAAGATAATTCTGGGGCGCCTGGGTGGCTCAGTCGTTAAGCGTCTGTGTTCAGCGTCTGTCTTCAGCTCAGGTCATGATCCCAGGGTCCTTGGATCGAGCCCCACATCGGGCTCCCTGCTCGGCGGGAAGCCTGCTTTTCCCTCTCCCAC